TTTTTTTTACCTGTGGAATGATGCCCGCTTGACTTTCTTCTTGTTTACCCATCATTGTGTAAGATTTCCCAGCACCAGTCTGTCCATATGCAAAAATACAGACATTGTATCCCTCAAAGGCATGTAAGAGCATTTCCTTTCCAATGTCATTGTACACACGATTTTGAGATGCAAAACAGGGATCTTCCGGCTGTAAAAGTTAAAAGGACAAATAAATTTCATTTTATTCAATTCCTTTCTTACATTTATTTGGTAGACTTTATAATAAACCAGGAGCTCTGGTGCAGTGCTGTATGATAAGCACTGGACTGTTAACTGCAAGGTTGGCAGTTCAAATCCACTTGCTGCTCCTTGGAAACCCTATACAGGGTCCCTATGAGTCAAAACCAACAGGACAGCACTTAATAATAACAACATAATTAACAGTGTTTGGAAAAAGATTATTGTTTTGTTAAGTGACACTGAGTCAATTCTGACTCCTAGTGACCCTGTATACAGTTTCAGAGGAGTGGCTGGTGAGTTTGAACTGCCTACCTTGCAATTCAAACCAACAGTCCAGTGCATTATCCTGCAGCACCACCCCACAACTCCTTAGAACCAGACTAGACACCTAAAATAAGTTTTTTAAATCCTCTCTACAAGGCTGATTTTTCTTGTTAAACACACAGATATAAACACATACACTATTAAGAGTCATTCAGATCACCAAAACATACATAAAAATATCCACATGAATGGATCTAGTAAGATGAGACTTAATGTCAAGTGCACATATAATACCTCTCTGAACTTGCTCCAGGTAGTGGGGCTATTTCTCCGTAAACACAGTGAGGTATTTTCCCAACCCCTTATACTGACCCTTTCTGTGGGAACTAGGTTTTGTTAACTAGTTTAAACTAGCTAAAAATTTTTTCACATATGGAATTTTTAAAAAGTTAGAATTCTTAATGCTTCTAGATATATGATGTGTACAAAAGAAACTTCCGTTTAGGACCACTCTCTGGAAGTCAGTACGATTTGGTATGCTATATTAAGTGAAGGTACACTTCAAGTATAATGTTGTCTCCAATAGGATAATATTTATATACCTACAGGAAGGCCAGTTAATACTAAAACTATTGAAATTTATGCACCAACCACTAAAATCAGCATGAAATTGAGGAATTCTAGCAGCAATCAAGAGATCAGATGACGTATTGCATTGGGCAAATCTGCTGCACAGGAACTTTTTAAAGTATTAAAGAGCAGAGATGTCAGCTTGAGGACTAAGGTGCGCCTGACCCAAGCCATGGTATTTTCAATAACCTCATAAGGATG